ACCCTCCCCAAGCCCCTGCCCACCCCTGCCCCCTTGTTGGGGAACAAAGCAATAAATTACAAGGCCCCTCCCCAGTCCTCTTAGCCCGCTCCCCGCTCCATCCCTTCTCCCTCCTAAGATAGTAGTGAGGAGGGACCCAGGCTCTTGGCTCCCCCAGCCCTTTAGCTTCCATCCATGGGTGGGTTTGGGGGGACGTCTTGATTTCCACTCCTCATGGTCCCTTTCACGGAAAGGGTTGGGGACCCCCCTACCCCTCATGGGCAGCAGGGGTCCTGCCCCTCGCTGCCCTTCCCCCTTCACTGGGCAGTGAGATTAGCACGGAAGGGGTGGGTTCCCCGTATTGGCCCCAAGTCCGGGGGCTAGCCCTCCCACGTATTAAGCCCTCCCTCTGGCGTGGCATCGCCCCAGGAGCCAGCCTGGGTAAGTGCTCCCGGCCCTGCGATTGTCGAGCACAGGCAGGACTGGATCTTTTCCCCGCCCTTAGGGGGCGCGAGTGGGCATAGCTGGCCCAGGAGCAGGTAAGCACGGGCGTTCCTTCCTCAAACACCAACCGGGTAGACCCAGAGCAATCCCAGGGTGGAAACAGTGGAGAGAGGGCGTGTTGAGCTGAGGTCCCCATGCCTCGTTGGGGAGAGGGAGGTGAGTTTATGTCTTCTGGGAGGCGTGGGGGCTCTGCCCTCGTGGGGGGAAGAAGTGCTCCCATGGGACGCGGTGCGGCTTGGAGAGGTGAGTGGGTGCATATGTCCAGCGGTCCACCCGGTGCGATCGCGCCCGGCCATGGGGGAGTGGGGGTGTCTCTCCCTCTGGGCCACTATACCAGCGCGACAGGGGCGTCGGCGCGGCCCATGCTGGCCGCGCTGCTCCGGCGGCGGGGGCTGGGCGTGGCGGTGATGCTGGGAGTGGTGGCCGCGCTGGGGGTGGTGGCTGTGCTGCCGCCCTCTCCGGGGCAGCCGTGCTGGAGAAGGATGTCGGCGCACAGCTGGCTCCCAGCCTGGCGGGCGTAGAACAGCGCGGTGCGGCCCTGCGCG